CAAAGCAGCCTTTGGTACCCTAAGAGAAGGCCCAGTATTATTTAATACATTTAATGTTCTTCTTGTCATAAAGTGGAAAAGTTAAGAAACTGTCTAATATTGTGTAAAATACCTCTATTTTTAAATTAAAATACCTTTTCTACCCTGGACAGTTCTCATCTTTGTCTTTAGATGCAGCTGTGGGAGAAGTACATTAAGAAGTATAAATCTGATGTCAAAGAGAGTCTTGACTCAGGGGTGGGAATTGGAGCCCTAACCCCAAAAAGGAATCCCTTGGCCCTTTGGCAAGTGTGGTGTGGTGCCCTGGCCTACTGTTTGTTGGATGAGCCACCCACAGGTGCACCTGTGAGGCAAGGTCTCAAACGAATAGTGAGTGCTTTTAGCTATTACCCACATCTGTTTAGAATACTGCACATGAAAATTCTGGGTGTCCCTACATCAGGCAGGGTGTGGACTGAGTGGCTCGGGACAGCGGGAGGCCTACGTTGTATCTGGCTCATATCTCTTTCTTGATGGCAGACTCCTGAGGAGTTGGATGACTCTGACTTCGAGACAGAAGACTTCGATGTCCGCAGCAGGACAAGCGTCCAGACAGAAGATGACCAGTTGATAGCTGGCCAGAGTGCCCGGGTAAGGAATCAGTTAAACTTGTTTTGGCCCTCGCCAGTTTGGCTTAGTGGATAGTGTGTCAGCCTGCACATAAAAGGGTTGCAGGCCCGATCCCCAGCTGGGGTGTGTGTGTGAGGCAACCAATCAATGTGTCTCTCAAAAAACAAACAAACTTGTTCTGCAGACCTTCCCTGTCCCTCTCAGGTCTTAGCTTTTCTTTTCCAGGAAAATACTCTATTTTGAGAACCCAGTTTTCCCTCTTTTCTTCTGGCCATAGGACGGAAGTTGTGGCACCTGCTAGTCAATTGTAGGTTTCTCCAAAGTGTCTCCTCAGTTGTGCCCTGGGGCTTTGGTTTATGACAATCCTGCATCAGGAGAGCCTGAGGATCTAATCAACACAATGGTGGTTAAAAAGATTGCGGTCTTTGCCCATGTCAGTTACACTGAAATATTTATTTATGGGTTAAATAAAATAACAGTGTTACATTCAAGAGAATCAGTCAGAACCTTTGCATCCATTTGAGTCATTAAATCTTCCATCAGTAGCATTTTTGTTTTGGGGAGGATGCCAAGAAATATTTCTAAGGAGTCCTTTTTCACTTCTCAGATATTTTGAACAGCGAGTACATCCCTGCTTTAGGCCCCACTTTGTCATGAGCACTTTGGGGAGAGCCCAGGTGCTACTTTGATAAGGTGTCAATGCTACTGAGCTATACAAAGTGTATATACCTCAGCAGGTTCTCTGCCTGCCTTCTTTAAAATTTACATTCTAAAGGCACTTCCAGTTCACCTTGAAAAGTTAAAGATGCAATGCGGCCACAGGAAATGCTTGGGAAAGCGCCACCAGCATTAGCCCTTCTCTCATCTGTGCTCTCACAGGAGACAGAGGATGAAACTTTTGCAGAACTCAATTAAGCAGGCTCTGTTCCTGGGCCAGTGTGATCCCGAAGTGTCCACATTAGCCTTGTACCCCTTATACTCTTGTTTTCCTCCACATTAAAATTTGTTCTTAAAAGTGGGTTGGGAATGGCCCTTCAGGCAAAATGAAACCTATTAAAGCATTATCCTGTCTATGTCATAGATTGCTCGGTGGAAATGCTTTCGGCTAATGTACTGTGAGAATGTCATATTCTTTCCATGTAAGAGCTTTCTGTGCTTCTGATTTTAGGCAATCATGGCTCAGCTTCCCCAAGAGCAAAAAGCAAAGATTGCAGAACAGGTGGCCAGCTTCCAGGAAGAAAAGAGCAAGCTGGATGCTGAAGTGTCCAAATGGGACGACAGTGGTAACGACATCATCGTGCTGGCCAAGCAGATGTGCATGATCATGATGGAGATGACCGACTTCACCCGGTGAGCAGTGCCCGGCCCACAGCCGCAGAGGCAGCCATCTTCTCTTTTCTACTCTCTGCCAACTACGAAGGGCTTCACGTACAATGATCCTTGTTCTTTTTTCAGAGGTAAGGGACCGCTCAAAAACACATCAGATGTGATCAGTGCTGCCAAGAAAATTGCAGAGGCAGGATCCAGGATGGATAAGCTTGGCCGCACCATCGCAGACCATGTAAGTAATAGACCTAACATGTGGGTCTCAGGCAGCCCAGCCTGGTCCATTCCTGAGGCAGCAATAACAATAATTTTCAGGGGACACAACACTCATCTCAAAAATTGTTCTTAACTTGCCAACCAGCATAGAGTTTTAAGAATTTCTGAATAATTCTTTGGTAATTCTTGAGAGAACATACCTGGAGGTGTGTCTGTCCTGAATAACAGCTAAAATCTAGCCTCTCCTGGGGACGTGTGTATTCCTAGTTCTCTTCAGAACTTGAGCTCTGGGCAGGCACTGCTTCCAAGCCTACCACGCTGACCCCAGGTGTGCGAGTGCCTCTTCTCGTGGATTTGCTTCTTAGAAGCAGCAGGATAATGTGTCCAGTTGGGGACAGACATGTGTCCTCAGCGCTGTGGGTTCTCAACTACCCAGCTTTCATAAACCCTTTATTCCCTGCAGTGATACGTCAGAAAATGTGGTTCCTACCTCCTGGAGAGTTGACATTTTCCTTTGATGTTCCAAGACTTATTTACTGGAGATGCTGTTTCTCAGTTACAGTTCTCTGTAGTCTAAGCCCTTCCCTTGAAGTATCAAGCCTCTCACCCTGCATCTGGGCTGAGGGACAGCAGTGCCTCATCGCTCAAGCCAAAGATTCAGAAGTCATCTTAACCCCTCCTTCCCACAATCCAGTGCTAAGTGCTATACTTCTACTGGCCACCATCTAGTCTTGTCCCCTCTTCCAGAGCCAGCTCAGGCCGACCTCCACAGCCCATGCCTGGACTACTACTTGTGGCCGCTCCTCACTGCTTCCCCTCTCTCTTCTCCACGCCGTCCTCCATACAGCTGCCAGTACAGTCTTCCTACACGCTCATCTAAAGGGCATGTCTTGATAGGGCTTTGCTGTGTTCCGTAAGATTCTTAAATTCAAAATTTCCAGCATGGTCTACAGGTTTGTCTGTGCCCAGTCTCCCAGAGGGAAATGTTTGCTATAAATACCTGAGAGGTGGTCTGTATTTCTTTCTCTGGGTAAAGCTTCCTGAGCTTTGGCAGCAAGACAGGAATTGGGCAGCGGCTGCCCTTTAATTTCCCAGTGGCTGATCAAGACCTCGCAGTCTCCCACTGCTTGTTCTCTTGCTTTGATTCACTCATCTTCCATCTTTGCCTGAAGTGAACCTCTCCTTTCACCAGGTGTTTACAGTGTGTATCATAATTGAGCAGAAGAGCTGTTGGGATGGTTGTTAGCAAGCTCAGAGCACTCTGGCTTTTCTTCAGAACCAAGCTCTTGCTTGCTGACGCTTTTTTCACCTTTAGGGGCTTGGGCCCAAGCAGAGGGCAGCCTAGAGCCAAACTGCCCCAGGTAATTGGGTAACTCATCTCTCATGCCCTTTGCTCCAGCAAGGAGAGAGGAAGCCTCTCTTGGTGGCACACAGAGATGTAGAAACAGCCCCCAGGGGTAGCTGTGTTTAGATCAGGCCTGGGTGCTCTGCTAAACTTATTCTCCCGTCAGTGTCCAGACTCGGCCTGCAAGCAGGACCTGCTGGCCTACCTGCAGCGCATCGCCCTCTACTGCCACCAGCTCAACATCTGCAGCAAAGTCAAGGCCGAGGTGCAGAACCTTGGTGGGGAGCTCGTTGTCTCTGGGGTAAGTTTCATCTGTGAAAAGAAGTGGGTGGTGGGAATAGTCTGGCCTTTGTCCACATACACTCCTTACCTGCCCTGAACTGGGAAGGTGAGCTGTGGAAAACCCTGAAGTTTCTTCCTTGGAGGCCAAGGGCTGGCTGCACCTCAGTTGCAGGTATATTTTTAATCTTCCCTGTTTTTCTTCCTCCCACAGAAGAATTGAGCCTGTTCAAAAATTGCAAAGATGATATAGCAAAGCTTTCTCAAATCTCCTCTACCTCTCCAAGTGCTTCAGTATTACCACCCCTCCTTGTCTCTTTACCATGTCACTGTTCTGGACCTCTCCTCACCTGGGGTAGGGCAAAGAGGTGATCTCGCTCGGTGTGCTGGGCTCTATTAATTCCCCGGAAAATTGACACCATTTGGTCACCTGCTACAACGTCAGTGCCCCTGGCCATGGCTGACTCAGGCCTCCTCCTCCAGCTTGTTTGAGGGGTGAGGGGGAGGTGGCGATGCCTTACATTCTTGTTACTGTTCCCTTTATTTCTTCAGAAGATCTGAAACAGGCCTTTTCAGGGTATTTGAATAAGAGCAGCCAATTATATGGGGCTGTGGCCCACCCCTGAAGGGAAGGAGGAGGGGGCTCCCCCCTCACCCAACCCTGGGGCTAAAGGTCAGGCCTGTGCTCCTCACCGCCCATGTTTGTGTCTCTTAGGTGGACAGCGCCATGTCCCTGATCCAGGCTGCCAAGAACTTGATGAACGCCGTGGTGCAGACAGTGAAGGCCTCCTATGTGGCCTCCACCAAGTACCAGAAGTCGCAGGGTATGGCTTCCCTCAACCTCCCGGCTGTGTCGTGGAAGATGAAGGCACCTGAGAAAAAGCCCTTGGTGAAGAGAGAGAAACAGGATGAGACACAGACCAAGATTAAACGGGCGTCTCAGAAGAAGCATGTGAACCCTGTGCAGGCCCTCAGCGAGTTCAGAGCCATGGACAGCATCTAAGGCTGCCCTCACCAGCTGCCCCCACCCATCGGGGCTCTTAAGATCAGTTACTGTTCTTCACTCAAATGTATTTGCTAAATAGAGCACTGATGTTAGAGTCCACCGGGAAATAGGCAGATGTTAAACCTGGCCAGGTGGTGAATTTTGCAAGGACATACTTGTGTTTAAGTCAGTCACAAATACTTTTAGAATTCAGGAGCATATTTCTAGCTGTATTTTTTTATAAGCTTAAATAAAAATCCCATAACCAAAGAGAATCCCATATTAACTTGTTAGTGACATTCTTGACCAAGTTGTGTGGCATTAGGGTCTGAGAAAAGGAGAGATCTGACTCACCCTTTTTTCAGGGAGGGGTCTTCCACCAGCCCAGGGTCTGGGCAGGTTGGCTGGTATTAAATGCCAAAGATGACCAGGGCAAGCAAACTGGGTGTCTTAGGAAGTGGTCCCCAGAGAGGAAATGTTTCTAGAAAGGTCCTGAGAGGGACAAACCACATGAAACTCAGTAAAACAATGTATCATGCAGAACACTGATCACTCTCTTTATGACGTGAAATGAGAATTGTAATGCATGGTTACAGTCACGAATGTGCTCTGCTGCAGGACATATTAAAAAGTTGCTTATTTTCTTCCTCAGGCTAGAATGTTATGATGCCATAATCAGAACTTGCTTGTTTCCCTTTGTTCAGCTCCAAATGCAGATACATCATTGGGCTCACTTCTAATAATTGCAGTGTTTCCTGCCTTGGGCTTACTACAGCAGCCTAACAAAGTAGCATTTGCTTAGGCAATAATTTAGACATTACCTTATTTGTGATTAATATAGCGATTACTATAGCTACAAGGTATAATTTTACTATCTATTTAAATTTTATGAATTCGAATGTTTTTTACACTAACTTTTCCCAATAAAGTCCACCTTGAAACCAAGCCCAAGAAGTTAAAGTAGTTTTTCTTTGCTTCCAGCAGTCACGTTTTACATGAAACATCTCCCGGATCTGCCCCCAGTGTCCCAACAAGGAGACTCTTCCTATGGCTCCTCGGGAACTCAAGTGTTCACCCTTCAAGGGGAAGGTCAAAACCTTGGAAGTGTCCTTAAAATCTCCATGGGTATCACCCCCTTCTCGTCTGAGTTGTTTCTATCAGCTTCTAACCACACCAGGATAACAGCTGCCTCCAAAATAGCCCTCCTAACGCCATGTCCCTTCCCAGCAAAGCTCCTTAGAGAGATGTGTGTAGTGTCCCCTCTTCCTCACTTGCATTCTCTCTGCCATTCCAGCCCCTCTCCTCCCGGCCACTCTACTACCGTCCCCCTTAAGGGAGCTGTCAGCATTACCAGATTGATTGGCTCTTTCCTCATCTTACCAATCTCACCGTACAAGTGCCCAGGTGAATGGCCCTGCTCTCAGAAGTTCCTCACTTGCCTTCCAGAATACTCGGTTCTGATTTTGTCTTCCTTCACCGCCGTTTCCTAGTCATTAAAAGCTGTGCTTCCCTGGGCTCAATACCCAGGTCTCTCTGGCTCTACTCACTCTTCCAAACTTAACCAGACTCCTGGCTTTATGTACAGTCCAAATTCTGCCTTCTCCTGTATCCTGACTTATAACTGCCTGCCTCCTAAACTCTCCACATAAATGTCTTAGTATCTCATACTTGATCTGTCCAAATTCTTATCTTTAAAATGTATGGTGGGTCCAACCACCTGTTTACTTTCACCTGGTCATCGTATTAGTTACCTATTGCTGTGTAACAAACTGCCCCAAAACTTCGCAGCTAAAACAACAAACATTTATTACCTCAGTTTCTGAAGGCCAGGAATCCAGGAACAGCTCTGAGGGAGGTCCTGACTCGGTCTTTCGTGAGGCTCAGTCTCTCTCCGAAGGCCAGATGGGCTGGGGAGCTGCTTCCAGACTCCCTCCTGGCTGCTGGCAGGCGGCCTCGGTTCCGTGCCCTGTGGCCTCCCACAGAGCAGCTTATCATGTGCTCACTGGCTCCCCTCAAGTGAATCATCCAGGAGAACAACCAGATGGGAGTCGTGGTTTTTTTAAAACCTGATCTCAAAAGTAATATGACCAGCACTGCCCTGGCCAGTGTTTCTAAGTGGTTAGAGCATAGGGTTGTGGGTTCACTCCCCGCCCTAGGTTGGGCATATCGGGGAGGCAACCAGTCAATGTGTCCCTCACATCAATGTTTCTCTCTTTTTCTCCCCCTACCTCCCTTCCATTCTCTCTGAAAAGCAAGCAAAAAAATATCCTCAGGTGAGGATTAACACAAAACATCCACATATATATGACCATCACTGCCATTATATTCTGCTGGTCACACAGACCACCCCTGGTACACTGTGGGAGGGGGACAACACAAGGAGGCCAAAGCCAGGAGGTGGACTTCCAGTCACCTGAACCCAGACCACTGCAGTAACTTCCCCATTGGGCTTTACTGTTCCCCACACCCTACTCCCCAGGGCAGTCACAATCAATATGCAAATTGTCCCCTCAACTGGGAGTTCGACCAGGAGGCGGGGCCAGCCAACCACCTGCGGCCAGCGGCCCCTCTTCCTTGCCCGGCTGGCCCTGACTGGCCCCTGATTGGCCCCGATCAGGCAGGCCAGCAGGACCCCGCCAGTGCACCGGGCCTCTAGTAATCCCTATAAAACAAGTCAGATTGTGTCATTCTCTCAGCTCCAACCAGCAACAGTTTCTATCTCCCAGTAAAAGCCAAAGTCTTAAATGACGGTTTGGCCCTCTAGCCTCTCCCCTCTCCCTTCTTTGTCATTTGCCCTTTGCACTTGTGGTTCCACTGCCTGGAACACTCCCCAGAGATACACATGTGTCTTCACAAATCACCTTACCCAGAAGACCTTCGAAAAATCCTACCATGCCCTCTCTATAGCACTGAACTTGCTTTACGTTTACAAGCCCATCTGTTTCTCTTGTAAGTTTTGCAGGAAGAGGGATCTTGATTTTGTTCATCACCGACTCTCCAAAGCCCAGGACAAGGACTGAATCTCGGGGAACTCCCATGGGGCTGGACCCAGAAGGCTTTGGCCTCCCTATACTCACCCCCAACCCTGACTCAGGATCCATGACGACACTCTGGAACGTTCTCATGGCTTTTGTTGCCATCAGTTTGTCACATTCCAAAATGGTCTTCCAGGCTTGAGCCCAGATCCCCGTCTGTCCTCAGCTGCTTCACCTGATCTGCTGGAAGCCCTACAGCCCAGGAGCCCAGCGGCCCCCAGTCCACCTCCTCTCAACCCATCACTTCAGCAGAGGCCAAGGCCCCACCCCTCAGTGCTGCAAAGGTTCCTAAACTGGCCTACATCAGCCCCAGCATCCATTATCCATCTTCTACCAGCAGCAAACGCATCTTCCGGAAACACCTCCAAGGAGTAAAGCCTCTCATGACGCCCTCTGTCTAGGCTGCCCCCTGACCTGTGCCCACCGAGCCCCTAGAAGTGGCTCCTGACCCTGTGCTCCCCCTGTGAGCCCATTACTTGATGTCCAGGTCAGCACCTTTCCCTTATCATCACACCAAATATAATGCCATTACATACTTAGACTAACTTCTGTTTAACGGTACCTCCTTTAAGCAGTATCTGTGAAATCATGTTTGATGGGCTGGTTACATTTTTTCTAATATACATCAAAATAACATTTTGATAAGTGTTCATGTATTTCCTAAAATCATCCAAGTACCACCTCTGCAAACACTGGCCTGCAGCTGCCACTGCTGCCTGGCCCTGGGCATGGCACCTGGTATTGCAGCACCAGCCCTCACAGCCTGACCTGAATTCTTTTGAGGAACAAACAGCATTGGTCTTGCTCACCCTATCCAGCAGAGGGTCTCCTACATGCTTGAGAAATAGCTGTTGAACCATTCAAACCATTTATTGATTTAAACCAATCAAAAGGTACTAGAAGGCAAAAAGGAGGCAACTGAGGAGGCACTCCCCCCAGACATCCTGAAATCCTCCATCTTCTCAGACAACAGCCTGAAGCAGGACGGCCTCACTGTATCCTGCCCCTTTCTGCTTCCCAACAGGGCTGACACACCCTCAGCGACACCTCCATATGGGACGGCGTCTCACCAGCCTGGCACTGGGTGTGCCACTCCTCTCACCTGCTCTCCCACCTGCACACAGGACCGCAGAGCCCAGCTCTCTCCTCCTCGCTGGCATCAGCTGCCTGCTGACCCTGTACCGCCTCCCGTGACTCCTGGGCAGATACTTCAAGGCCCTTCCTCACCTCTGCTGTCTTAATTCGCACAGCTTTCAACCTCCACCCAGGCCAGGGTCACTCCACTAAAGGAAGAGAGGAGGACTTTACCCACACCCCCATCTCATCTTTACAACCTGTGAGGTGTCAGTGCTACCACCACCCCTCAATCTGTACACCCAAGTCACACAGCTGGCAAGCAGCTTCAAGATCCAGTTCCTCCAAAACCCCCAGGTTCTGGAGTTCCAGAGGGCAGTGCAGGGCCCTCCATTTCTCCCCGCTCCCCCCGCTCCCTTCTTCAAGCTGGGAACTCCCTCATGCTCCCTCCCACCACATCTGCCCCATGCCTGCACCGAGTTATAAGGACTATGTCTGTTAAGATGCAGGAACTCTGCAGGTCCCTGGCTAAGGCACCCCCTGGCTTGTCACTGGATCCGTGCCTGGTCAAGGATTTTGCCCCACAATCTTCCCTCTATTTCTTGCCTTGCCAAGTTTTCCTTCCTCCTGGATCTTTCTCAGCAGCATACAAAACATGTTCTAGTACAGTGGTCGCCATCCGGTGGTCCGCAGACCACTGGTGGTCCATGAGGTCCGAAAGGTTGGCGACCACTGTTGTAATGGGCCCCATAGTTTTAAAAAAAAACAAAGACAATACAAAAAGCTTCCCCTGAGTCCATGTCACCCCCCCCCCCCATCCCTTACAAAGACGCCTGAGTGTTTAGACCAGGGGTGGGCAAACTTTTTGACTCGAGGGCCACAATGGGTTCTTAAACTGGACCGGAGGGCCGGAACAAAAGCATGGATGGAGTGTTTGTGTGAACTAATATAAATTCAAAGTAAACATCATTACATAAAAGGGTACGGTCTTTTTTTTTTTTTAGTTTTATTCATTTCAAACGGGCCGGATCCGACCTGCGGGCCGTAGTTTGCCCACGGCTGGTTTAGACCATGTCTCCACTTCCCTCCTCTGCTCTCCCAGCTACACCTTCTGTCCAGTCCCTTCTAAGTAGCATGTGAAGTCGGTGCCCGCCCCCCCACACCCGCTCCTCGTCAAACCTCTAGATTTCCACTATCACAATCAATATGCAAATTGTCCCCTCAACTGGGAGTTTGACCAGGAGGCGGGGCCAGCCAACCACCTGCGGCCAGTGGCCCCTCTTCCTTGCCCGGCTGGCCCTGATTGGCCCCGGATTGGCCCTGATCAGGCGGGCCAGCAGGACCTGCCTTCACCAATCCCTGCTCCTCGTCTCCTCGTTCTCCTCCTGATGTCTAAGGCTGAGGTGGTCCAGGCGTCAGGCGCTGGTCCTCTTCTCCCGGTCCCTAGGGTGGTGTGTGGGTAAGTGGGTCATAACCAGCTCTCCAGGGCAGAGTCGGGAGGGGACGTGTAGAGATAAGTTTATATACATTTTTCTCCTGTAACAGGATTGTAGCACACAATTCACAAATAATAACAAAATACACAATGCTCTTTACTGCAACTTCCATACGGCCAACTGATTCTCACCAGGCTTTCACTGATTTTTGTTGAAATCCTGCATCCATAGCCAACTGACAGTTGTAATTGACAAAGGAGCCTGGTTCTGACAGGAATGCTGGTTGATACTTTGTTTACCTTACGGAGTAAGATGAAAGTGAAAAAACAAAAACATCTGTGGGCGTTTCACTTGTTCATCAGTGAATGACTTCTTTGCTAAATCATATACCTGTCAAATACTCTAAGACAATTCCTTCAGATTTTTGTGCTGATAGATGACACTTTAATCAGCATTATTAACATTTTAAAAACGTTTTCTTCATCACTTTAAGGCTTGATTTGTAGCGTTTCCCAGTGTCCATGGTGTAAATTCTCCCACATCAGATTTCCAGCCACGAAGGCGGCATCTGGAAGGGGGCGTGGGAGCACAGGTGCCCACTGTGGAGCATGTCTGCACCACCCAGACGCGACAGACACGTCCTCTCCAGAGCATAATGGTTGACTGTAAGTAATTAGGAAAGTTGAGTAATAATTACCTTTAAAATTTTTTAAGTTTACACACAGTAAAATTTATACTTTTTAAGGGACAATTCTGTGAGTTTTGACAAATACATAGAGTTGTGTAATCACCACCACATTCAAGGTGTAGAGCAGTTCTAGCACCAATGGAGTGGAACCGTCCCCCATCCTAAGTCTTGGCAAAAACCTTCCTCTATAATTTTGCCTTTTCCAGATGTCATGTAAATGGAATTATACAATATGTAGCCTTTTGAGTCTGCCTTCTTTCCATCAGCATAATGCCTTTGAGATGCACACAGGTTTCTGTGTGCAGTTCATTCATTTCCACTGTGGAGCAGGGCTGCACTGTGCAGATGGGCCACGGTTTGTCTATCCACTCTCCAGGTGAGGGACATTTTAATTGTTTCTAGGTCGTTTTATTTTTACAAATAAAGCTGACATAGATTTTCCTTTATCTTGCGTAAATACCTAGGAGTGAGATTGTGTTGCAAGGTATACGTTTGTTGAATTTTATCTGAAACTCCCAAACTGTTTTTCCACAGTGGCTGCATCATTTTGCATTCCCAGCAACATTGCTCTGCATCCTCATCAGCACATGATATTGTCAGGTTTTTGGTTTGTTTAGGCTTTTAAATTTTTTTCAGCCATTTTAGTGGGTGTGTAGTAGTGTCTTGTGGTGTTAATTTGCATTTCCCTAACAACTAATGATGCTGAGCATATTTTCATGTGCTTATCTGTCCTCTACATTTCTTTGGTGAAATGATTTCAAATCTTTTGCCTTTTTAAAATTGGATTGACTATTATTGATGAGTTTTGAGTATTCTTTATATATTCTGAATATAAGTCCTTTGTCAGATATGTGATTTGTAAATATTTTCTCCCTACTTGTAACTTGCCTTTTGTTTTTTTTCTTTCACAGAAATTTTAACATAGTGAATTTTATCATCTTTTTTTCCTTAATGAATTATGCTTTTGGTTGTTGTATCTAAGAACTCTTTGGCTAATTCAAGGCCACAAAGATTTCTTCTAAAAGTTTTATAATTTTTCATTTAGGTCTGATTACTTTTGAGTTCAATTTTGTATAACATGACAGATATAGGTCAAGGTTTGTTTTTTAAAATATGGCTCTCCAGTTGTTGCACCACCACTTACTAAAAAGATGATCCTTTCTCCACTGAAGTGTCTTTGCACCTTTGTCAAAAATCAACTAAGTATATTTGTATGGGTCTATTTCTGAACTCTCTATTGTGATTCATTGATCTGTGTGTCTATCCTTTAGGCAGTGTCTTGATTACTATAGTCTTTGTAGCAAGTCTTAAAATCAGCAAGTGTGATTCTCCAACTTTTTTCTTCTTCAAGATTGGTTTAGCTACTTCAATTCCTTTGGATTTCCATAGAAGTTTTCAAATCAGACTCTTGATATCTAAAAAGTTCCTGCTGGGATTGCATTGACTCTATAGGTCAATTCTGGAGGGACTGACTGATATCTTAACAACATTGAGTCTTCCAACCCAGGAACTCAGTATGTCTCTCCATTTACTTATATCTTTATTTCTTTCATCAGTGTTTTGTACTTTTCAGCATTAAAATCCTTCCCATATGTTGTCAGACTTACATGTATTTCATCTGTTCTAATGCTGTTATAAGTGATATTGTTTTTAAATTTTCATTTCAATATTTTATTGTTTGCATATAGAAATACAATTGATTTTTGTATATTGACCTTACATTTTGTGACCTTGATAAACTCATTGTTAGTTGGGCATTTTTTGTACATTTCATGGGATTTTCTATATTCGAAATCATGTTATCCTTTAATAGAGACAGTTTTATTTCTTCTTTTTCAACCTGAATGCCTTTTATTTCATTTTCTTGCCTTACTGCACTGCCCAGGACTTCTGGTACAATATTGAAAAGGAGAGGCGAGTGGGCATTCTTACCTTGCTCCCAGTCTTAGGGAAAAAGAAGTCAGTCTTTTGACCATTAAGTTTGATGCTTGTTGTAGGTTTTTATGTGGTTTCCCTTCATCAGGTTAAGGAGGCTCCCTTCTATTCCTAATTTGCTGAGAGTTTTTATTATAAATGGATATTGAATTTTGTCAAATGATTTTTCTGCGTTTATTGAGATGATTGTTTCTTTCTTCCATCTATTAATATGGGAATTGAGCTGAACTAGCCTTGCATTCCCGGGATAAGGCCCATTTGGGGATGTTCTGGCATGCTTTTATATACAGAGGTGGGCAAAAGTAGGTTTACAGTTGTATTGTGACATTCTTTTGAGTTCATAAAGCTACTGTAATAATCGTAACCTATCTTTTCCCATATGAACAACTGTAAGCCTACATTTGCTCACCCGTGTTGCCACATTTGATTTGCTATTTATTTTGTTGAGTTTTGCATGGAGGATTTCAGTAGGAACCTTAGAAAAACCTGAAGTCCTCCCTACAGCTTCCAAGATCTCCTCTCTCCAATACCTCCTGTCCTCATTCTTATGAGGGGTATTGTTCCATAGAGTTTTTTTTCTTTTAATATCTTTGTCTGGTATTAGCATCAGAGTAATGCTGGCCCCATGAAATGGGCTTGGGAGTATTTTCTTCTATTTTTAGGAAGAGATTATATAGAACTGGTATTATTTGGGAGAATTTGCCAATGAAACCTTCTGGGCTTGGAGTTTTCTTTGGGAGAAGGTTGTAAACTATGAATTCAATTTCTTCAATATACAGGATATATACAGGATATCTATTCTTGAGTGAATTTTGGTAGCTTGTGTTTATGGAAGGCAGAATAATGGTTCCTCAAAGATATCCACATTCTACTCCCTGGAACCTGTGAATATGTTATGTGACATGGCAAAGGAGAATTAAGGTTGCACATCAGCTAATTTAAAAAAAAAGGGGGGGGAATTATTCTGGATTATCCAGTGGCCCAGTGTTATCACAAGGGGCCTTAATGTGGAAAAGGTCGGCAGAAGAGTCCATCGGAGTGATGTCATAAGAGAACTGTACTTGTTTCTGCTGGCTTTGAAGGAGGAAGGGTCCACAAGCCAAGGAATGCAGGCAGCTTCAAGGAGCCGGAAGAGGCAAGGAAATGGATCCTATTGGAGCTGACAGGGAGGAATGCAATCCTATTGGTGGCTTTGATTTCTATATTGTGAAACTGACAGATTTATGACCTATAAAACTATAAGGTAATTTGTGTTATTTTGAGGCATTAAGCTCATTCTCATTTGTTACAGCAGCAATAGAAAACTAATGCAGTAAAAGGCAGTGTTTTTCAAGGAAATGGTCCATCATTTCTCCTAAGTTGCCTGATTTATGGACTTAAGAGTTGTTTGTAGCATTCACTTATTATCCTCTTAAGTGAATATAGTGATATCCCCTCTTTAAGTCCTGATATTGGTAATTTATGTCTTCTTTTTTCAAAGAACCATATTTTCATTTCATTGATTTCCTCTAGTTATTCTGCCTTCAATTTTATTGGTTTCTCTGCTCTTATCTTTATTATTTCCTTTTCTTATTCTTTCTTTGGGTTTAATTTGCTCTTCCTACTAATTTTTAAAAATTATCTTTGCATTTTTAATATATTAATTGTAAGTTTACATAATTTGATTTTTATTTTTTAACTAATTAATTTTTTAAAAATATGTCTTTATTGATTTTAGAGAGAGAGGAAGGGAGCGGGAGAAAGAAAAACTTCAATGTGAGAGAGAAACATCGATCAACTGACCAGGGACCAAACCCACAACCTGGGCATGTGCCCTGACCGAAAAGCAAACCAGCAACCTTTCAGTGCACAGGATGGTGCCCAACCGAGACACACGGGCCGTGCTGGTTTTTAATAATGGCTGTTGAACAACTAGCTCGCAATGTTTCTACAACCCACAGGGCTTATAGGCTGCTATGAGCTGGCCCCAGCACACTCTGCCTCCACGTTCGTCTTCACACATGACCTCTTCCTCCCTAGCGCCAGACTCTTCCTCCAGCTGCCTATTCAACATCTCCACTTGAATGTCCAACTGAAATCTCAATAAACCTACATCTAAAATAATGTCTACAATAATGCCTCAATCTTTTCTCCTCTACGCTTCTCTCTTCCCTCTTCTGGAACCAGTACCTCCAGGGGCCCAGTTGCTCAGGACCCTGAGTGAAGCTTCATCCATGACCTTCTTTCCTCACACACCACAAGCAGTGTATCAGCTCCTCTCAGCTCCATCTTTAAAATGTATCTGGAGTCTGAGCACATGGCACTGCCTTCTCTATCACCATCACCCTGGTTCAAACCTCATCAACTCTCACCACGGTTCTGCAGTAGACCCTGCACTGGGCTTCTGCTTCTGTCCTTGCCCCTTGGTTGTCTCTTGTTACCACAGCAACAGTGATCCTGTTATAATGTCAGTCATGTTGAGTCTCTCCATGGCTCCCATCTCAAAGAGAGAACTCCCACCTTACTATAGCTGCCAAGATTTGACCTCCCTTGTTGCTTACTCTTCTTCCTGCCACTGAATCTTGCTTTTCTTCCACCTCCTACCAAGTTCCTGCCTGAGGACTTTTGCATCTGCTATTCCCTTGGTCTACAAAGCACTTCCTTCGATCCCCACGACTCACAGCCTGTGTTCTTCCGTTCACACTGTCTACTCAGGGAGGCCTTTTCTAACACTCTTGACCCCTTCTCATGTTTTATTTTTCTGCACAGCTCTTAGCACTCACTGCCTGGCATCGTATTATATACTTATTTGTCGTGGTCTGCCCCTCCCCCGTACTTACCACTTCATGCCCTGGAACAGTGCCTGGCCCTAGTTAGTCCTAAATCAAATTTGTTTTGTGAATGAGTGAGCAGCAGCCAGGAAAATGCCCAAACCCTCCCCTTGGCTCCCGGCTCCATCACGATCAGGCTATGCTCTTTGGCAAGGCTAACAAGGCACTGGAGAATGTGGTGCCCTTGACCCCTGTGGCTCCACCTTGAGCCACTCGGCCCCTCACCCCATCACTTCCTCCAGCTACACTGAACTTGGGGTTCCTCAAATGGACCTCTTTCTCTCACCTCAGGCCTTCCTACATCTTCCAGGGGCTGGAATCCCTTCCCCCTTTCACCTGGCTTGTTTTTCAAGCACATTCAGGTCTCAGCTTGGCTACTACCAGTTCTGGGAGGCCTTCCCTGACCTCCTCGGCTCTGACTGAGCAAGGCTTCCCCATCACGTCCATGTCACAGTGGGACTACTGTCCCCCACCAGACTGTGAGCTGCCTGAGAGCAGGGCCTGTGACTTACTAATCTCAGAACCCCGGGGCCTAACACTGAGTAAGTGCTCACTAAATACAATCTGAATGAAAGAATGAATGAACAAGAAAACTATTAAGAACCAAGCCTGCTAAGAGACGGGATGGGGGACCTAGGACCACCATCCCACTCCCCATTCCTGTCATCCTCCCACACGGAAGGCCTGGCTCAGCCCCGTCCAGCAGCAGGGAACCAACAGTCAGCCAGAGCCTAGGAGGAGCCCACAAGTCACAGCTCTCAGCCAGTCCTTGCCATGAGGCCGAGAGCCCTACAGCCCCACAGCATGAGGGGCGGGAGGAGAGGAAAGCAGCCTGAGGCCCTGGTAGGAAGAAGTCACATCACCCCAAGTACTAGTGGCTAAGAGTCCCCCATTACCATTTCCTGCCTAACTTCAAACCCAGGTCACATTCCTTGGCCACAGTTCCCAGGATGGCACTCAAAGGGAGGCAGAGAAGGGCTCCTTCTAGACCCGCACACAACAATTAATGATGAACCGGTGGAACCAGAACCCACACCCAAGCAGCGTGAGCCCAAGCCCTTGGTCACATGGCTGCCTGTCTCCTAGGTGGGTCTGCTACATGGCCCAGGACCAAGCAAT